AAAAAAAAAAAAAAAAAAAAAAACAATAATAGAAATGATAATAATAATAAAATTACAATGACAATAATATGGTGATAAGATTAGTTTTTTAATATATCCAAGAAACTATTTCGTGCAATTTTTATAGCTCTCTTGATGGCAATATCTTTCCGGCACACTTGTGTACAATTCCAGCAGAAAGATCAATCTTAAGTTAACATTATACATTACATTCACAACAACCAGATCAATTCAAATTACCACTGGAGACCTTGCATTAGACAACATGTCTGATTTGATCAACTTAATGCTGTCATAAATGGGGGTCTCAACATGAAATTGCTAATGCATTTTCAGTTATAAATCTTGAGGTCAATTCAAGGTGCGTCCTATCTTGTTGATAATCTAATCTATGGCTTTCAAGAAAATAGCTGAGGCTGTGTTAGTAATGTATACTTAATCAGGCAAAATGTTGGAAGTGGACATCTACTTGATCAAGTCTATCCCCAACTGACTCCCAGGAAACTAGTGGAACAATGAGGAGGGAGGACATTTTTTAGAAAATGATTTTGATCTGTTAACACTGGCAGCACAGAGTAGCCATGGTGGCGATGAAATGTTTTCTGGTCAATTTGGACTATTTATGGTTATTGTCAGTCCTAGATTGTTAATATTTGACAAAGGAAAGGAGGGGGGGGGGGGGTGGAGAGCTGCCACTAAAATTATTTTTAAAAATCCATTTCCTTCCCCTCCCCTCCCTCAAAAAAAAAAAAAAAAAAAAAAAAAAAAAGAAGTAAAATAAGGACATTGGTAATGTGTAGTATACAGTGATTATGTAACCACTATTTTAGGAAGTACATAAGATTTCTTACAGAAACTTTTTAACCTCAAAAAGCATTTAACTACACAGTAAAATCAATTTTTTATTGAACATCTGTAATAGCTACAATTGTTTTGCCTTTTTGTGTAAACAACATAACTGATGAGCACCTGGCTAACTATTGCCACCACCCTCAATTTCCACCACTGAGGTCGAGCAGAAGGCAGATCCCTTCCTAGCTGAACAACCTGGTGGGACCATCATTAACAGCCTAGCAGCATTATCTTTCATCTTCAACCAATTTCTCCAAATATAGAGGGACGGGCAATATGTTTGAAAATAGGGTTCCGTTTCCAAAATCAATTTTCTTATTAGATTAAGTGACCATATGTTTCCATATGAGAGCACTCCGTGTGGCCATAGATCATGTCAGATATTCCCTGTTGAAATAATGGAATGTTGTGGTACATAGAGTACAGACGACAGAAGTACGAAAAATCCTTGGAATATCCCACAATGCCTCAAGATATCTGTGCATGTTTTATTCAACTTACAAATTACAAGTTATGGGTTAAAATTAGTCCAAAACGAATAATATAAAATTGAAGTATGAAGTGGGCAAATAATGATGTGTCAATATTTAACTGTAATATTAAATGGGGGAAATAGAGGTAAGTTTTCTTTGCCAATTTGTCTATAAAGAATAACAAAATTGCATTTTATGTCATTCGGTGAACTACTATTAAGAAAATTATGAATTATTAACATAGTTGCCTCATACACTAAATTACGTAGGCTGACAAAAGCACTATTCTTTGTCTAGTGCTTAGGATAATACACCAAAGACGTAAAATATATTATTTGTGCCAATTTACCATTGATGGTGACAAAGTTATTAAAATTTCTAAAATTATCATTGACAAAATATATCCACTAATTTTTAAAGTCCAATACATCCAAAAACAAAGCTACGTATAACATGCAATGGTCTTACAGAGTCTAAGAGTAACACATTACAAGAAAACCATAGATAGCAATAAATCAGTTTTTATATTCCTGGTAATTCAGCAAAAGCCATCCGACCTACTAGTTTATCATCAACAAGCATCCTCCTCAGACACAACTGAAATAAATCATCAAGTTTTTCCAACAAGCTTCCTAGCGCCCCTTCCTTGCTACAACAACCATAAATCTCCGCTAAAGCAGGAGCAGAGTTAGTAGCTGGTCATCTACGGGGAGCGCTGTTGATAAGGTTGTCATGGAAGCTTGGACTTCAGGACAACCTTGGCCACATACCCCCCATGGGTGTATGGAGGTTAACTAGTCACTGGGGACTGGAACATCCCAGGTATGAGGAGTCCTCTCAGATAAAGATTCTCTTGGGTAGGGTCTACCTATTCCCCTTACATTGATTAGATATTAACAAGGACATTTAATTTAGCTATTCCTCACATCTTCTGAAAATCAATATGAATATGTTACCTGGGCCCCTGGGTATCATAATCCCCCCACTCCCCACCTCTCTCAACCATATCTGTACCCCCTCTGGAATTAAGATCCCACAGTGTATTGGTTGTGTGGAATCCAGTGAACACAAATCATTAAACAACTTCACATTAACTGATTAAATAGTAAAGCAAGTGTGACTTGATGTACATCATCAATTTATCTTCAAAACTAAATGTCAGGGTATCTGGATTCCAGTGGAGTTGGTATTTTAATCATTTAAAATGTAATAGTTTTATAACATTAATTTTTAGTTTACCTTCCACAAAGACAACGCATGGACAGCCTTTAAAACCTCGGCATCTTCACTGCATTTATCTCAATTACTGATTGCCACTTTTTTATTGAGCAACCAAAAGCTGAAAAAATGTTTAAAATTCCAACACCTTTCCTATGTGGGTGGGATGTGCTCTACAAAGCACTGAAGTATGGGGGTTCAATCTCATAAAGAAAAATTAAGAACAAAATATCTGGAAACCATTTATTTTTCTGAGAAATTCCTCAGACCATCAACAACATAATGCAATAAAATGTCATGTATATGATATCTTTGAATGAGTCAAATTATCTACTAGACAAAATATATGAAGGCCAGAGACAATATTGATTAGTTAGTGACTAAAAGGGGGATGGTAGAAATTTATTTTTATTTTAGCCTTTTAAACATGTTTTATGGGCATAGGTTGGTTGTTTTCAGCAGAAGAACAAGAGCATTTTTTTCCTAAAGTCAATTTCAAATTATCCCCCGCTTAAAAAAGCAATGCCCAAAGCATTTTTTTTTTCAACTGAAAAAAAGGTCAATTGCGTTAGTTTACAAACTTATCAATTTTGTCCAGCCTAAGGTAATTTTTGTTTTCAAGATATCTCATATAGCTATAGATTAATCAAAATATGACATAGCTAATGCTTACACATGCATGCAGAGTGCAGCCTAGAGGTAATAAGGTGGTATGCACCTTGGCCCCATTTCATGATCAAGAATACTTTTCTCAAAAATAAAAAAAAGAAGTCAAGCTGTAAAGAGGCAGGGCAGTGAGCTGAGTACACTGGCCTAAGGGGAACTGTAGAGAGGAGCTATTTGTGGTCAAATACACAGTTCTGTCGTGATTAAGTACATTAGCTATAGGGGTCATACATTTTTATCATCATTTTCACTAGTCAACATGCATGCTGGGGGCAGTTGGGGGGGGGCTGGGAGGAGGTTAATGCCCTCTGCACACTTGAAAAAATAATAAAAATGATGATCCAAATTACTGGCAAAAGTCATCAATTTTAGATTTTCACTTTGTATGCTCTGAGGGAGAATAAGATGGGTCTGGAAAAAAAAAAATATATATATATATATATATATAAATATATATATATATATATATATTAAATAATATCTATGTATGTCTCTCTCTCTCTCTCTCTCTCTCTCTCTCTCTCTCTCTATATATATATATATATATCATTTAAAGCTCATAGCAGCACTTCTGCTCTTACAGGATTCTTGCGTTTATCTAATTTCATTAATGCGGTGGGACTTTTGAAAATCACTGCTTATTAAACTATTTTGTTGAAATTGAGAAAAGGTATTTGTGATGCAAAATCATAGTATCTTTCTTGTTTATTCTTTTGACAATGAAATGCATCTGTGTAAAGCAAAAGAGGAGAAAATTTTGCTTATATTTAGAAAGGAATGCATTAATTAAGTCAATCTAAGTACAAGTCATGACAATATATTTGGTACATGTATCAGAGAAAGCTATGCCACTCTGTCAAGGACGTAGCGTGCTGCCATGGCAACCACAGGGGATCCAGTGGGGACACCAGGGAAGGGGCCACTAGAGCCTGCGATATCCATGTGGGAATATTTCAGGGGACGCTCTGAGTCGATACCATGCTGAAACAGAAAGTAATTTTATTCCAGTTATCAGGTTGATTATCCAATTATAAAACCACAACAAAAACCCACAACTGTATACAAATTTGATTTTATGAATAACAGATAAAATGTCCAAAACCTCAGCAAAGTCTGTATCTACTACAATGTTGATGGGGGCTCCAGTAAATAGTCTTCAGTTGGTATTAATTTTAAATATCAGAGACCACCGAGGCCAGTATAATTAATATGTGTATCAGTTACTGAACAAAGCAAATTTATATTTTTATTATGTTATTGATATTATATGAAGTATTGTATAAACACATTTATTCCACCCACCTTATCTAGCCCAGACGCCATGATCATGAATGCGGCAGGGGTCTGATGTCCGCGAGGTGTCATGGTGGATGGCACATTGTTGCACTGCAACACATCTTCATATTCTGACTTGCCTTTATGGAATTCATAATCCTACAACGAATATACCAGTTACACTGCATATGTTGAGAGGAGGCAGTAGCAATTTTTTCATAAAAAGTATTCACTTATAATGTTAGTTTGAGTGAAATGATATTCTACCAACTTTTTAAAAACAATTTGCCTTTGGTGACCCATTTACTGGCTTAGCTCTCACCTCTCTTCTGATGTTTGATATCTCAAAGGGATCTCCATACTGACTTCCAGCAGCCTGCATCTTCTGTGACGTCTGCTCTTTGCTTGCAGGACCATTATCCAAGATAATCTGGAAAAGAGTATTAAATTTATGAAATATGGAAACATATTATCCTATAAATAAAAATAAATTATTTTTTGCTTTTTGATACATAACTTATCAATCATAAAACACAACCAGAGAGAGACTGCTTGATAGAAGATTACATAAAGAACCATAACTATCACCATTAATGTTGTTCATCTCTTAAAAGGTACAGGCAGAATTTCATAACTTTATAGCCACTGTGTAATTCTTCAACACCATCTGCTACTGTTATACCTGTTCAGCCCCTCCCACCAATAAACACACACACACACACATATATAGTACTTACTGAATAGTTTGGCCCCATAGCCCTGATAGCATGCCCCGTCAGGGTAGCAATAGTGAACAGGTGTGGGTTGACCTCATTAAGTGCCTGAAATGATGCCATTTGTTACAAAAAATTGCTACTGCCATTACAGAGTGGGGTGCCTCTCATTAACAGGCACCAGATACGTTCTAGCATGTGTATAAACAGAAGAATAAAAGTCGATAGTAATCAGTTGTTTTGGGAGAACCTTGGAAGCACCTGCTGCCTCCCCTGCAGGAACCTGACCAGAAATAGAGCTGGATTGTCTAAATATATTCTTTACTCTAAGTAAGATAGACAGTGCACCTGTCCTGGACATCTAATTTGCCTGTTTGGAGGAAGTAATTATCAGAAAAAATTAGTCTGTGTAACAAAACTATATTTTTCAACCAAAAAATGTTTTTACTATATTCAGAACCCAAGATCATGTTAAACATGCAGCAACTTTTCCAATACTTCTCAAATCCAAATAATATATAAAAACACTGTTGCCTATGATGTTATTTAATCTCTAATTTTTAACTGGTGCTAACACATCAGGAAACAAGGTTGTAAAAAATACCTTTTCCTTCATCTGACACAGCACGTCAGCCATAACCATACGTCCCTCTGCATCAGTGTTGCCCACACGGACACGCACACCAGCACGCGAGGTTATGATTTCATCAGCCACGTAGCATTCTGCAGATGAAAAAATATCTGACTCATACCCCAAGTTGACAAGCTGACAAATCAAACATACATCTCTGTAGTCTGTGCATCTGTAATAAGCCTAATTAGTAATTCTCAGAAAATAACAATAAATGCCTGCTTCAAGTAAGTACATGGTGGTTTAAGAAATAAGTTTTCTCTGTGTTAAGCTGATCATCTTTATAATTTTAATTAAATGTTTACCTGATCCTACGCTATTGCGTACCATGGACATGGCTCCCAAAACCTTCAAACCTTTGGGTTTCAGTGAATCTAGGACCTAAAAACAGACTTATATTTTATGACTGCCTCCCTCCCACAATAAAAAATGCATATGCTCTGGTAACTCTAGACTGTGACACTTCTAGAAAACATAACACTCTCTTAATATCAATTCAAGATGCACACCTCCAACAAATGCACAAATCTGACATTAAATAAAATTCCTTGCTGTTTTAAGTCATATTATTTTACAAAAATACCCCACACTTATCAGACTGTTAACTACCCTAAAAAAATTACCGGGCATGACACCTGGCAAACAATTGGGCACTGGATCAGTGAAAACGATAACTGATGTTAGACTCAAGCGTATCAATTAGGCATTATTACACCTACACCTCTGAAATGGTCACTAACCTGGAAGAATCCAGCAACGGCTGCCGCTCCACATTTGTCTCTGTGCATGCCTGCCATGACCCCACCTGCCTTGATGTCTGCGCCACCTGTGTCATAGGTAATACCCTGGAATACAACACCAATATACAGCCTTCAGACGGTGCTCCTTCAAAAGATGTTCTGGTTCACCCTGAACCACTCAACCGTTTAATAGAAATATCTTCAGAGTTATAAATTTTCTTATAGAACTTCAAGTAGAAACAGGCTTACTAAAAGTGTATAATTTGTTTTTGAAATTAATATCCTTGAAGAATATGATACTTCAGTGAGTCAAATAATTACACCTGAACATCATTTTTCAGAGATCTTTATAAATCAGTTACACTTCAGTTCTTAATTGCATTTGTATTCCTTATGTTTTCAATACCATCACCTATTTCAAATCTGATGTTTTTCATTTTCAATATTAAATAATATATTGCAATCAAATCTTTTACCTTTCCAACCAGTAACAAAGTGGTATCAATGTCTCCCTCTCCCACATACTCAAGGAAGATAACATGGCCCCTGTGACGCTCCACACCTGAAATAGAGTCTCAATGTTAACAATGGCTAATGGAAATCATCTGAAGTAGTATAAAACCAGGTTGTCAGAATACCCTGACATCATACGAGACTTGAAAGAACCTGCGCAAAATTCGGCCAACTTCTCAGCTACAAGGTGAGAAGGTTGTCTTATAAAGCAATACAAAAGTGACATGCATTTTTCCAATATGTTTTTCATATTGTAAAGTCTACTGAACATTTATGGATTTTAGACTCTAAATGAATATTATTACTTTCATTAACATTATTATGATTATTACTGCTTACATCCAGCAGATCTGTTAACTGCTGCTAACAGTGGGTATTCTTTCTTGAAAACCTCTGGATCAGATAAGATGTTCACCTTAAAGGAAACGAAAATAGCTAAAATGACCATTTTATTCCTATTATTATAAAAAAGTTATAAGCAGCAAAACATACATAAAAAGCAAAATAGAGTTTTTATGCACTGACACTGCAGCTTTCTCTGAGGGGAAGAATTACTAAAAGGATAACAACTGTTCATTTTGGCTAGGATTTTCCTGGGGTGAAGGACAATTTTCCCATACTTACAAATGGTTAATGAATCCATTCCCACATTTAAAGTTAGTCCTCCTTTTTTTTTCTAAAAAGTTTGGTTTTCTGTAATATTCTCTTAAGAGATTATTACAGAGTGTAGCCATCTATGGAGGTCACGTGATGTGATGGCAAGCACATGTTCCAGAATAATTGCGGTTACTACCGTTTTTGGTGGTAAAATGGTATATGTTTTGTTTCTATAAGCTGTTTACAATGCACTTATTGTGAACTTACGAACAGTTGTTATCCCTATGGGTAGCAGCATTACAAAGCAACAGCACGCATATATACAAAATTCTCAGTTTGTCATGCTTTCCACATGCTGCAAATTACAGGTAAGCCAATCTTTTTATTTTCAAACTATGTAGATGTATACAATATTGTTATCAATATTTAAAGGATAAAAATGTGTGTAATGTTCCTGTACTTGTTGACTTGGCGACCATGTAAGTGTGAACATACCTTAATACACGTGCCCTTGAAGACATCTTGCACGTACTGTGCAACACGTGGTGCAGCCATGCGCTCTGGGTCAGAACCTCCAATATCACGACAGACAGATCTGCAGAGTTAAACATGCAAATACACACAGCATTCTGCAATGTTAGATCAAGCTACAACCACTCCATGTTGAACAACATGCAATCAAAAAAAAAATTTAAAAAAAAGAGAAGGAGAAAATACAGTGCACCCTGGCAACATTATGGCAAAAAAACATATTCTTTTACAATAACTACAATCCTAGTAAGTTGACAAAATTTCACCTTTTTCAATATGAATACAACATACACCCCTATAACCATTTTCTTAAGACTGAGTTCAATTCCTTAAAAATGATCTTAAAATTTTACCCTTTATCATATATCATTTTTACATCCCCCCTTTTGTTGTAAGCTGTTAAGTGTAACCTTAAAATGTTCAACAAACAGATAGCGATGCAGATCATTAAAGGAAATAAATAGAAGGTTTGCAGACATTCTGCATGGAAGTAATAAAATATTGGTTCACAGACAAGTATTCCAATGCCAATTGCCTGGGATTTATCTAGAGTAAAGAAAAACACAAAATCACAGCCTTTCCATTTTCAATTTTTTCATGTCTCATTTTAAATATATGTTATATAACATATATGCATCATTAACTTTGGTCTTTTGTTCTTCTGTGGATAATGTGCTCAACCCTCCCAATGCTGCTCCCCTCTCCTTCGCCTTCCATAACACATTATACTGTAGATCTGTATGAAAGCTCTCAAAATATGTAATACGATCAAATGTCTGATTATAATTTTACAAAATTTAACTCTTTTATTTTGCAAGCCCAATGTGAAGTATGAGGTCCTGTATTGAACCACAATTCTAGCTGTAGTATTAATCCCCTTGTCTTTATACATACCTTCCTTTCTCAAGTCCATTTAAGATGGGCAGAGCCTTGACCACTCTGGTCTGGTCATTGCACCACACTCCCAGGTTGTTGACCTTACGAGCACGGCTGGGAACATCTTCTCGTACCTCAATGGGCTGTAATATATCATCAAACAATTTGAGTAATGCCACAAGTTTTTTCATTTCCTGATTAATCAATTATGTATTACATTGAAACGTGACCAATTTTAGATTTTCAACAATTTTGCTTCAACTGCTTATATCCATGAAAAAACATTCCTTTTTTCAATCATAGGGCTCATTCAAAAAGAGTTAGCTCACAATAGCTACTGTGCACACACTCCACAGGGACTCTTGCTGAATGCAATCAGGTTAACAGACTAACACACCTCCTCCCCGTTTTGAGTAGAATAAAGAGAAGCTGGTGATCATACGAGTATGTTGGAAACAATAGGAGGTGTGTTATGTAATCTCTGGGGTAGCGCTAACACTCGCCTATTGAGCCAAATGCTAAAACTTGCTTAAATTGGCTAAAGAAAATGGGCTTGATTTGACTTGTTTCAGTCAAATTATAACCATTTTGATAACAAATTGACAAAAAAGTGGTGATTTGGCTAAGAGAAAAAAATTGCTAGTGCTACCCCAGAATCTGTTAATCTGATTGCATTCAGCAAGAGTCCCCATAGAGTTACTAGCTAGGTCTACATTAGCTTGGTCTACATAACAGTCATTCTGCATGGTGCCATGCAGTCTACATCTCTCCATACCTACCACATACAAGACCTGCATGGCTCCCAGAGAGGTGACCAGACCTGCCTTGGGGAAGCTGTCATCAACTGGTCTCACCAGTAAAGGGTTGTTACTCCCAGCAGCCACAGCTCTGAAATATTAAATACACACCATTTTACAATATTATTACCATATGGTCAACACGTTTGTCTATTTATTTTAAGACATGCATGAGTACTTTTCATGTTATTTTGTTATTGTCATTTTACTTATTAGCTTATGAAGTGCAATGTCATAATTTTCAAAAAACAAATCAAGTTGTGCTCAAATATTTAAAATAGAGTACATCATTTATAAAAATGCCATTATCACTTGCCTATTTATGCCCCTGTTAGCAGCATCAGCAAAGCGCCTCACATCATCATAATCCCTGTTTAGTGGCCCTGTTGGAGCAAAGATCTGGAATCCACAGAATATAAAAATCAAATTTTATAAAAAAAGGGAATAAAGAAAAGAAGTAAAATACTGTTAGTTGTTTCTAAATTGGTCCATTTGTATAGCTTAATTATTCCATATAAAATATACTGACACTAAACTATTACCAACTTACTGGCTTATTGATGCTTTATCTTTTTTCAATATCATTTACCATCAAAATTTAATTCAACATACTGACCAGTCTCTTTGATGGCACAACATCTGTCTTGATAAAGTGGACAAAGCCAGGGTTTTCCAGTTTCCCATCCACCTGTAAATGAAAACAAAATGTGTTTTTTTTTTCAAAATATATAATCTGAATAATTTCTTCAATCTTCAGGAATACTGACAAAAATGTTCAGTTACACTGCATTAAAATTTTTAAAATTTAAAAATTAACACTTTATAAGTTGTTCTTTTAAACTTAAGGAAAATGAGTGATGCTACAACAACCTTAAATCCTTTTTTGAAAAATGTTGCCTAAAAAAATAAAACATATAAACTACTAACATGTTCATAATCCTGCAAAACAGCTTTGATGTTTTCAAGGTTGCCAGTCAGTTTGTCAATGCTGTCAGTGACCACCACCACTGCATCATACTGGGCATCTGCTACATCAAGACATGGCACCAGGGTACAGGGAACACTGTGGAGGAATTAACAATATCATCATTATATTAATATCTATAATTATAAATGTACTACATACTCAAATGTGATTCAACCGTAATGTACATCAAAATATAAAGGCAGAGCACAAAGAGAGAGAGAGAGAGAAAGAGAGAGAGAGAGAGATGCATCTAAGTTATACCCAAGGATCACATGTTGCTATAATGTGCCAAGTAAGAATGGAGATAGGGGTGATGCAAATCAACAGAACAGTATACCTTGCTTCATATTAATAGTCTTACAATTTAGGACAAATTATTACTCATCTGTCACCTATTTTACACCTGTTTGTTTTATTCAGGATAAAACATGCAGCAGTTTGAGAGCTTTGTGCAGAAATTTTGGACACGCATTATCATTATGTAATCAAACTACATGCTTGGGTAAATACAGTAACGTTAAACCGTTCAAACATAAAAAAGTAAATATCAAAATTTAAATTGTTGCAGTGCTTACACAACACGACAGGAAGAATTAAATTATTCTGTACAATTAAAAAAAGTTAAGTCATAGCAGTAAAAAATGTGAGCAATTTTCCGAGTAGTTTGTGGTTAGTTTCACTTTCATTTCAGGAGATATATAATAGAGTCATTTCAGATATCGCTGACTCATACAAAACAGGTATGTTGTGGTGCATACAGATCGATGTACAGGTGTATTCTATGAAGGCACTCTGCATGGATGTACAAGTTTCACTGACAGACTCCTGAATTAACACCAATTCAAATAATGTAACTGATTCCATATACAGTATGTGCTGACATTAGCTTACGAGGCAAAAGCAACCGTGTTTCCATCGGCTTCACTTACCGTATGTCTGTCATCTTGGACGACAAGTCATGTGAACAAAGCACTAGCAGATTACAAGTCTTAGGACAATAATAAAAGCACATATATTTGTCAAATTTTAAGGACAAAATTTACTTTTTTCATTTGAAACAAGATATTTAACTATTATAGTCAATGTTTTGTTTTCTTAGGACATGTATGTTCCAAATACAACGTTTTATTAGTATGCATTATTCATATTGTAATAAAACCTTAAAACCCGAGACTATCAGGGAAATTAGGTCATTGTAAATAGGTCAGGGTTGGAAGGTTTGGAGGCGTACCAAGATAACAAATAAGAGTACTGCTTAGAAATCTACGACCAAAGTGCATTTATATGCGGTTTAATGTACTGTTAGATGTCCGCCGCATAGCTTGTCATTTACATCGATCTTTCCAAACAATGAGATTCGTGCAATTTGAAGAAGGTGGCCGCCGCAGGGTAGGAGTTGAGAAGGAGGATGGAGGAGACGTCGTGGATCTTTCTGCATTTGACAAGAATATTCCAACAGACATGAGAAGTTTCCTGGAGGGAGGACAACCTATGATCCAAGCTGCAAAGAGGTTAGCTATAATTGTTGACAAATATAGTCTTAACTCAAGATAGAAGAAGTATTGACAGTGCAATCCTACAACAGGTGACAGAAAGATTATTTATACATGAACAGCTCTAGGGTAGTTTATATGGATTGGATATTATTTAACAAATATTACCGGTATATTTGATATAACAGATATCTTTTAATTACACATTACAGCTACGGTGCACTTAATATTTGAACTTAAGTATCGCATGTTAGGAAGTTCCCAGAAACAAAACATATACCACTTTGTCTTTTGTCAGTGTGTTTGTCTTTAGCGTATACATTTATGTCTTTGGTTATAGATATTTCTGGTATATACATACAAACTGCAGCTATCATCTTGAAGTGATTTGAAATTAAGTTGTTTTGCATTTTAGTGCTGTTGAAAGTGGTAATTCTTCTCTGATATTGAAGAGAGACAGTGTCAAGCTGCTGGCACCTGTCACCAACCCAGACAAGGTCCTCTGTGTGGGTATGAACTATGTGGACCACTGTGCAGAGCAAAACCAGCCTGTCCCCAAAGAACCTGTGTTGTTCAGCAAGTTCCCCAGCACCATTATAGCATCAGGGGATGATCTACAGTATCCTGAAGAAACACAGGTATTTATTTATGTATTTAATTTGTAGGCCCCGTTTATGTGTATGGACACTGCCATAGAATCTGCATACATATGGTCCGACTTATATTTGTTATTAAAAAATTTCAACTTCACCTAGCTAAACACAATCACAAGCAATATGTTCATGATTTTCCAAGAACTTTATTTGATAAAAAGTACTGGCATTGGCAGTGCTAGTATTTAAAATACCTATAGGAATATATCTGATTAAAAATTGATCAGATATCTAATAAGACACTTACTGATGCCTCCGTATTCAGTTTGAACATGTATACAAACTTATCCTGATATACAATCGTTTAGTTTGTGAAAACTATCATAGCATGTGATAGTGACCCTGGGGTATAGGGGTGCTACAACCTTAGATAATAAGGATTGCATAAATATGATTATCTAAAACATGTGATCTCTTATTTTTATTAGTGAAGTTAAACTAATCTAGTAAAAACCAAATTCTGATCTTTTTAAAACCAAATGGCTATAAGTATTAGATACATAATGTACAGAAAATGTAAATTGCTGTTCAGACTTGTTTTGACATTACATTTCTTTGTACTCTGATCTTTGTTTTGAACTGGGTCAAACACTCTGGTGCATATGTTGCACCTGCACTGTTTTCCTGGTATAGATAACTTAACTGAGTGACTGTACTACTTCATCCCTACTTTTCTTTTGTTTTTTAGGAATTGGACTGGGAAGTTGAAATGGTTATTGTTATTGGAAAGGGTGGAAAGAAAATCAGTGTAGGTAACAATAAATGTTTGTGTGGATAATATTATTTTTTTAAAAATAACAAACAATTGAAAGTAGAAATATATAAAATTAAATAGAATTTTATTTATGAAATATATTCACAAATTCTGCTTATTATTGTCTTATTTTATGAATAGATTATTATTTTTTTCTTTCTACCTTTTTATGATTATCATTATTATTTTTCAAGAAAATGTCAAACTAAATACCTGGTACCTGCAAGTTTTTGCTATGGTGACCAGGGATCTGTAGATTTAGCATTCTACCTTATTGTGAATTTTTTTATATCTTGATTTATTTCAATGATGATTGATTTAACATGAAATCAGCTTTACTTGAGTTTTGTCAATGTTTTATCATTTCAAGGAAAATGAAGCGATGAGTCATGTGTTTGGGTACACTGTGGCACATGATGTGAGCGCTCGTGACTGGCAGATGAGGCGTAATGGAGGGCAGTACCTGGTGGGGAAGTCCATGGATTGCTTCTGTCCGCTTGGACCTGCCATTGTCATGAAGGAGGATCTGAGTGGTAAGTGACATGACTAGCGATTGATGATCAGATCTTATTTATTCATTTTAAATCAATTTTCCGTTGTCTTTTTTTTCTGTTTTATTTATTTATTATGTGAAGATGTGGTGATACTTGAGGACGTATAGTAACTCTGATTTGGCTTCATTGGTTGAGATTGCTATGGTTGCACATCTCAACTAACACAATGCAGACAGACTGGAGGATTAGGTCCTGGAAATTCTTTGTCCATTAATTTTATTAATAAACTTATTTTCATTGTTTATAAACATTATATCAATTACTTTTTTGAAAATAGTTTGTTTACAGAAGTGATATATATTAAACATAATTAAAAATCAATACTGCTGTATCAATGATAAAAATTGGAAATTTAGAGAATTCTTGGATATCATCTTTTGCATCTTTCTGAAGTTATGCTGGATGTAAAGAAAATTCTTATTCCTTATTTATGATCACATAGTTTGACAGAAATATGAAATTATCATTTAATTTTTCATTTTTCATTATAAAGAATGTGGCTTGGTTGTGTTTCAGATCCACATAATCTTGGCCTCAGATGCAGAGTGAATGGAGTTACAAAACAAGATAGCAACACAAAGAACCTGGTCTTTAAAACAGAAAGTATTATAGCTTTTGTATCGAGGTAGGTACAGTTATCATTTTCATTGTAATTATTATTATTATTTCCTTTCCTATTTTTGTTTTTTATTTCATTCTTTTGGCATTTTGATAACCTGATTTCTAATCTATCCAATATTAGATGTCCTGGTTGGAGAGCATTTTTTTGGTTCTTTTTCTGATATCATTTTGGATTAACCTGTCACTGTGTTGTCTTTATCTATGTAGGTTGTTCACTTTAAAGGCAGGTGATATCATCTTGACAGGAACGCCACCTGGTGTGGGGTGCTTCAGGAAACCTCCAGAATATTTAAAGGCAAGTTAGTTCTTTTACTAAAATAAATATTAATTTTTCATTGTCTTATTTTAATTAATTTTATTACTATTTTATTATTTTATTTTTTTAAATACAAAAACAAAGAAAGGACACAAAATATCACATTATGCTGTGCTTATAAAGTTGACTTTGTTGTTCATTTTGTATGGCGTTATTTTTATATCTGGCACAATCTTTCAATTAGTCTTATATGAGTTATTTTGACACCATGAGAGTATGAGGTTATGCTGCTCATAATTTCTGTAATTCTTGTTGTATATAGTATAATCCTTGTTTTATATTGTATAATTTTTTGTTTTATATTGTGTAATCCTTGTTTTATATTGTATAATCCTTGTTTTATATTGTAGAGAGGTGATGTGGTGGAGGTGGAGGTAGATCAGATTGGAAAAGTAGTCAACAAAGTGGTGTAACCTGTCAGCACATTCCAGGTGACCTTGAACTGTCACTGCTAATCAGAGATAATTCCTAAGTGATAATAATTTGCCATATGACCTATGCACATCTGTGTACATTATGGATAGATACATACTCAACATGATGGGATCTAAATTAATAATGTCTATGGGAGTACACGCAGAATCTTAATAATGTCTATGGGAGTACACGCAGAATCTTAATAATGTCTATGGGAGTACACGCAGAATCTTAATAATGTCTATGGGAGTACACGCAGAATCTTAATAATGTCTATGGGAGTACACGCAGAATCTTAATAATGTCTATGGGAGTACACGCAGAATCTTAATAATGTCTATGGGAGTACACGCAGAATCTTAATAATGTCTATGGGAGTACACGCAGAATCTTAATAATGTCTATGGGAGTACACGCAGAATCTTAATAATGTCTATGGGAGTACACGCAGAATCTTAATAATGTCTATGGGAGTACACGCAGAATCTAACCAAGTCAGTGCAATGCATCATGATAAACAGTTCAGGTGCTGTGTATGTAATAAAAATTAAATCAGGCCCATAGCCAGGTGGGGTTCGGGGGGTTCGAAAGAACCACCCTTTTTGTTGGAGAAAGGTCCACTCTTGGTAAAATTTGATCTATGTACTTGAGGATTTTATGGTAAAAGGTCCACTTTTTCAGAAAACGAACCTCCCCCTCTGAAATTGCTGGCTATGGGCCTGTAAATGCATGGTGATTTTTTCTTGTGTCAAAATAAAGTGATTTAAGTTGAGTGTAATTTAATTATTTTCATATCTTTTAAGATAGATTGTGTCAATTGTTTTAAATTGTTATTTCATAAGTATATCTGTACGGATATGCTGTATAATATGGTCATTTTGATAGGGATGTAACTCATTGTTAAATGTTAACACTTTAAAGTATATTCAAATTTGTAAAATGATCAGAATACATGATGTGTTAACTTGTTAAGTTGCAGTTTTTATTAAAGTTTGGAATATATTTGTCTGTAATGACGACTATGTACGTTATCATCATCCAAGGATTTGCAACTGTGGATAAAATGGTACAAATCGGATACTAGTTCGTTTATGTTTATTCTTTCCCTCCACAGCTTATTGTCAATATATATAGTTAGACATGTAGACAAGCATTGTGCCTTTTGTTTGTATATTAAAATACTACACCACATGTTACGTGTGTGGCAAAAACACAGCTTTTAGTTTTTAGATGTATTTTAGAAATGGTTTACGAATTCGGAAGCTACATGTAGGTTCTGCCAGTCCCATTTCAATTTTCCGCTAGGTCGTCCATTAGTTTTTGTTCGCTTAACGCAGAGAATCCCCCATCACATGTTTGAATATCGATTTGCCTTTACTCATTATGAAATACCAGTGATAGTGATTCCGTTACTCACTTTCTGTAACTGGATGGAATGCCGAAAGTGAGATGCACGGTATGGACACTTTATATGATGAGATCCAGATAAGCTGCTGCTTTGTGTATTCTGTGCTCATTAAACGTATCAATATGACAGGCGGTATTAATACCCCACCTTTTACAAATATTTTACTTTTTTGCAAGTTTATAAAATAATTTAAAAAAAAGCATTGAAAAATCAAGTACGTTAACATTTCATATTAAAATTTAGCTTCTTTATAAATGTTTTTTGCCGCTCTACAACCTGCTTCATGCTGAAGTATATAGAATTGGCCAAATCATGATAAAATGATAATCCTGATTCAAAAACCATAAGTAACATTAAGGTGTTATTTTGCTCGCAAATAAGGTTGTTTAGGTTTAATTAAAAAACAAAATGCGACTTACATTAATCACTGTTAAAACAAACTTTCTTTTCGTTATTTTTAAACCGTTGAACAGACCTATTTTGACAAAATTTGATTTTCTACTCGACAGTTTTTTTGTACATGATTCGTAAGTGAACCGCAATTTAGTAATATGAAATATAATTAAATCCAACAATAGGGTTAGCAGTTCAATTTACAGTTGTTGTGTGTTTACCTATTGTAAGACCCGTTTTGGCAAGCATCCTGTGGCGTTTGTTTACTGCATCTTACATTCCAATTCCAATATAAATTAATGATTTTAAATAACTTTATGTAAAACATGCACGTCTTATATCAGCTGAAAACTTCAGAATTAACGTCCTTGGGGTTGTTGTTATTGTTCCCACTGTCACTGTTATTGTCTACATTGGATTCATTGGCAAGCTGTTCTTTCGTTTCCTCCAGAATTGCGCACTCCACACTGTCTGTCCTGGGCTTCCTGGGTCTCACAGACACCGGACTGTTGTCGACTTGCCGTTCCTCCAGCCATTTCATCACCCGCGTGTCTACAGGCGAGTCCGGTTCCTCCGCCGGCTTTTTCTCGGTCTGTAAGGACTGTAATAGTACCAAATTTTTCTCTGTCAAGGCTAAGGGGCCCTCCGTCCTAGGCAATCTGGAATTGTCATTATCATAATCCACGACGTATGTGTCTATAAAAGAGACGTTAGGACGGTCGTTAAATGTCACAGTTTTCGTCTCCTTTCCGGTGAACGCTATATTAGTCCTAGGCAAAGTTCGGTAAATGTTAAAAGTAGACGTCTGGTCATTTTTTCCGTCTGACTGACCAGTCCGTTTTGCCAACTCGTTTCCTTTACTTTCTACAAACCCTGTAGAATAGTTAACGCTATTTGCCGCGGCCAGCTCCTCGATGGGAGAGTTATTGAGGCGACGTTGTGAATTCGGAAAAGAACTGGACGAAATTCTCGCTGGTCTTAGTTCAAACCCATCGGACCGGTACTGGCCGTGCGTCCTGGAGGTGACCAGACGCGACGTGGGTAAGGGATCCCTGCCTTCCGCCTCACGTCGCGCTACTTCTCCAGGTAGGGACGCTGAGCGTCTCAGTTCTCTGTTAAATCTCTGTCCTCTGTCTTTGTGGCTAGCAGAGTGTGGAACGGACCTGCCGTTAATGATAGGTGGAAACTGCTGTTCAGAGGACACGGACTTTGGGTGTCCTTTAGAATCGTGTAAATAGGTCTTGTTATGTCTCCAGCTGTTGAATTCCGCCACCGTGTGTGCTCTGCGCAGGACCTGGGGCACCGGCTTCTCCTTCACTTCCACCACCGCAATGCGTCCACCCGGCTGGACAGCGGCCATCATGTCAAAGTTGGGGTCAGAGGTAGACTTGTGAAGTTGCCGCTGAACCAGCCTTTTATACGCCCTTTCCTTGTTCATGATTGTCTCCTTATGATCGCGACCCCCCAGGTCTGCCGTTATCCACCAGTTAACACGACTGTCAGCGTCATCTTCTTCAACTTTTTTGATGAAAATCGCGTCGCTATCGCCGTGTGTTGAGTCAGTGTTGCCCCTGTGGTCTGTAAATGTTCACCTCCCATCAACAGGCTGCATGACTGAAACTGTTACAAAACGAAATTGAACAAAATCACAATAAACAAATTCTCTCGCACCTGTGAACATTTAATAAGGAAATCCAAGTTATAGCTCCCTCTGGTCTAAAGTTGAACAAACACTGCACGGAGACAATGCCAACATAAACACGGGGTCCTTTGATGGGAGCACATACGAAATGAACCTGTAAACTAAGTTCGTTTATGTATTTTGGAATTGACTGATAAGTGGAGATCAATGGGTTAAGAACCTGTGCTCATTATAAGAACTGCCTATTGATAAACTGTCAAAACTTTAACTTTTTTCAACATTCAAGGTCAGTCTGATTAAATTGTATTTTTTAAGAAAAAAATGACCTACTAACGGTGTCATTTCGAATAATTAAAAATCTGAATTGCTTGCGCGTAAGCTAAATTATGTAGATTCTCTTTGTGAAATCGACGGCCCCACTTTCTCCCTCTCTCTCCTCCTCTCTCTCTCTAACACACACACACACACACGCACGCACGCACGCACGCACGCAAACACACACACACACATTTAATTGAAAAACCGACGTAACATTTACCAACCTTGCAATTTTATTAGTTTTGTCTGCCTGCCTTAGGATCGCACTGCCCCATGGAAATGAGTATGAATATCAAGCTGTCGCTTTAAATGCCTTGCTCAACAAATGACCTGCATTCCTGATCCATTCACCTTTAAGTTACCCCTCAAAGTGAAAACGTTTGTTGTTTTTTTGTCCCATGCTTGTCCCCCTTCAACGGGTACTTAACTGTTTAAATACAGATTGTCGCGAGACTTTGTTCCCACTGTGACAAATGGACTTGCTTTCAAAGTGTTTTATTCACGTTAAAAATGCTTCCGTATCATGGCGTAACCTTAAAATAAATTTTGCTTTTGGAGTTGTTTGCTTATAAACGGGAGCACCATGCGTTAGTGTGTTAGCATTTGAATTGTGGAAAAAAATGGCGATAGTAATTTGAATATCAAAACAATGCGCTAGTTAGCGTTTCGACTCTGTATAGTCATCTAGCTGCAATTTCATTAAAACTTGGCACTGCCGTCAGTTTATCAAAACAGAAATACAAAACCATAAACTTTGATTTGGCAAGTTCTAACACTGAGCAGAAATTGTTTCTGGCAAAATTTCGCAAATAAAAAAGCAGGTATCACATTCAACACGTTCTTGTGGATGAAATAAGTTAAAAAAGAGTATTTCGACTAAAGACTTATTTTCTTTTTTGTGTCAGACTATGATATATTAAATTTATAAATATAAACTTTTGAATACCTAAATATTGCATACTATTTTGATGGCGCAGGCAGTTAGTAAATTTTGTGTATGAAAATAACGGCAATCAAGGAAGGGACATTCCTACTATTTTCAAACTTTATTTTAATTAATATTTTTCTCTTATTTTATCTCATTTCAATTTATTTCATTTTATTTCCTTTCCCCCTATTTTTTTTTCAGGGGCGCGAATAGTACTTGCAGTATTTGTTATTCAGAAGAGTATAATTTACAAACGGTGCGCAGTCTGCTTTCAATGCAAACGCTTAGCGAAGAGATTAAAACCCCTATTCAAATTGCCATTTACAGTTACACAAACTCTCTATACAGCCGAAACGCAAATTCCCATTGACTGCCGGTTGGTATTGTGCCCATTCAACAACGGAGCGTGGCGGGTTTTATTGTTCAAAGAAGAAATTTGACCCTGAACGCTGCTGTATGATTTTCACGCAGAAATGATCAATTCCTTGGCAACAACAAACGGCCGCCATTACTGCTTCCTGTGAAAGGCAGCCATGGAGAGAAGATAATTTATAGAAGAAGAAGAGTTTCGTAGATCTATTATTAGGTGAGTATAGACAATAAGGGCCCTAACGACTGGTTTGTGTTGATCGATGGTCGGAGCGTAATTCTTATAGGTTCAATCTGACCATGAGACTTGCTTGGTAATGTAAGCGTAGACGTACCATGTAACCGGTACGTGAAGTCTGATTGCCGAACAGTGATTTTAAAAGGTCTGTTCAGTGTTTTATCTGATTTTTATGTGATCGAAGCAATAAGATCGATAAATTTTACAGGTGGAGAATTACACAACTGACTTTGAACTGACCAGCGTATTGATACCTTGACGGTTCAATGACGCTAATAATTGACTTCTGAAACCCCCTGTCTCCCTCTAAACCCATGTAATGTGTTGTGCTCTTTGAGGTAACCTTTTAAACTTAAAAGTTAAACTTAAAAGAATGGGGTTAAGTCTATTTCAATTCTTCAATAAACAACACGAATTTATATAACAGCTATGTTTTTGAACTGAAATAACAAAGAAGTAAATTACACGTGAAATTCTGTTGAAAAGAACAAAGACTGTGCGCAGGATGCTGCTAGGGAAAATGCAGTTAGTAACAGTTAAAAAGTAACAAACGCCGGTGGCAGGTGCAGGGGACTCGGCATCAGAGCAGGCATCTGCCATGGCTTTGGGGGAAGACTTTCAGCTTCCTCCCATAAATCTAGACAAGGTAGGAAAAGTAGTAATGTTACAAGTGGATTAAGTGCAATGTATAGGGTCTACGGTTACAAAGCCATCTGCAAACGGGTTTTCTAAGGCTGCAGATTCAGATGTTTTGGACCAGTAGTAAGAGTCATAAATACACAGATCGACTTCACAAGTGAATCTGATACAACCTCTTGATCAGAACTAAGATTTCTACATGTTTTATACGAAAACCAGCGCATTGCACTCAGAAATCTCAATTCTGTCGGCAGATGATGTAATGCACTAAGTATATATTTTTAAGTTTAATTTTGCTTTAAAATACAAGAAAATTAGCGGACGTCAACAAGTGCATGCGGCGACATGTCACTGAATACAGTCTGCAATGAACATTATGCATTTGAAGCTTTCTCCTCAATTAGGATTAATTATTTTTATTTTAAATTAATTTTTGGAGCTCAGTTTTTTTCCTGAAATATTGGAGATTTTTTCCGTCCGTGTGAAGAGAAGGAGATGGGGTTTCTTCTACTCTTTTGCATTGCGTGTATTTGAGTCCGCCTGAGTTTACTGGCGTTTGTGTTTGTGTTCCGAGTCCTAGGCAGACAGTGCAGTCCACTTCTTTCTAGTAGCATAAAATAGAGTCTCCCTAGCGTATTAGATGCACGTTATCTATTTGTCAGCGTCGCTTAATGATTAATGTAAACTTCCGTCAAGATCCCTCTTCACTGATAGCTTGACATTTTTGTAAAATTGTTACCAAGTGGCGGTTTCCAGGGCTGTTCGTCTGTTGGGACTGATGGAAATGGGCAGTGGGAGTCTGTCCTAGTTAATGTCATTGTCAACATTTGCGACAATGGGGGATGTCCATTTATGAACCTTGCGCCTTGGGATATATGTTTGCATTTCGATTATCCAATCGATACGTGTTTAACACTCGAGTCTCCCGTCTGATAACAGGATTAATGGTGCTGCTTGATAAACCCTGAACTTAAGCTTCAGTTTATAGTTACCGTGGATCGATAGGAAAACATTTTCCGGGACTCTTTTTTTCCCTAAAACGAGAAGCAACATGAAGAAGGTAAGGCAGTAGGTTTGAATGACGAATTTTGTTTTTGATAAAAATGCCTACTAAAGAAAACTTCAGCCAGAAGCGATGATATCCATTCACTTCATTCTCCTCCTTTGGTGAGCTGTGAGGTTAAGAAGTTGAGGTTTAGATAGGTCATTGGGAAATACGGCGTAACGATCAATTAAAAAAGCCAGTCACTCAGTGGTGTGCTAATGTTAAATATAGGCATTAGTTAGAATGGTTCAACAGACTGGTTTCAGAAATCTACATCTACGTAAGTTTAATATGACGGAAGATAGCAAATGTCAACCATGTTGTCATTTTTTCTTTCCACAGAAAATGTCGCTCCGCTGGGCCGACGAGATGGAGGACAACGGCTCCCTGTGGGAAGGTCTGGGGACCCTGCGGGAAGAGGACGACGGCAACGACGACCTAAGCCTGTCTCAGTCATCAGAGGAAGACGGTGCCCCGTCTCCAGTCTATCTGAAACGCTGGGGAGTCCCCATTAAGACTGGTTTTGAGGAGCTGGAGCCCCTGGTGTCCAGGGAGATGGAGCCCATGTTCTCAGCTCGCCTTGGGTCAGGTTATTACTTAGAGAGAGCGTCTAGTAGTGAATCAATAGCCACAGATCTGTCCTTACTGTCCTGTTCCTCTCTTGGAGTGAAAAAGGTCGAAAGAACCCGTAGAAAACAGTCTAAAAATCAGATCCGTGATACTGAAAATACGAACATCAAAACTAACTGGGATCAAATATCAGCCAATGAAAACAGTAGCCTGACGCAGATGGTGTTGAAGGACGCCTCTGCCATGCAGGGGGTCGGCGGAGGCGCGTCTTTTAGTTTGTTGAACATGACACGCGCCATTGAAGCTTTAAATGAAGCGGAGCGCAAGCTTATCTTAAAGACATATCATACCAGGGGAATAATGGGGGTTGTCAAAAGTTACAGCACCACCGACGTCAGAGAAAGTGGCACTTACACCCCAGTAAAGTTGAGACAACAGAAGACACTTGAACAAAAAGCGACGCGAACCCAGTCCGCTTCGTCAGACCGCAGACCCTCCCGCGTCTCCATTAGGGAGTGTCCAAGCTCTGCAGGGTCGCATCTTCCTGGCATTGGTCAGGCGTCCACGCGGGGAGGAAGTGGGGCGTCTAGGACTTCCGCTGACCAAAGATTGGTCAGTGCAAAGAAAGTTTTCAGAAACTTCAGCAGAATGAGCTCAAAAATGAGACGTAAAATACTGAACACTTTGGCAGACTTAGACCATAACACAGGGTACGGTGACACACATCACGCTTCCATGGAAACGATGAAAGATCCGTCTGCGTTTCTTCGTATTGAGGACGACTTCCAGAAACTTCCGCGCATGCCCCAGAGGATACGCATAGCACCTCAGCTAGCTAAAGTAATCAAAGACGACATAAGGGACAGAATAGGGAAACCTAGATATACCGAAATCAAAGAAACACTCTTACAAAGATTCAATAAAAATTTGGACCAGAACGAGCGAACTCAGAGAAATTTGATGATATTTAACTGGCTTCAGAATTTGGACGAGAAAAACTTTGAACCTATGGAACCAGAAAGAAATCCCGAGCTCCGTATGCAAATGTATGGAGTTACAACAACAGTTCAATGACCTGAATTACAAAACGTTTTTGTCTTCTTTCTACCTTTACTTAGAAATAGGAAAATTTTATCTTGGGGGGACTAAGGAAACATTTCAACATGTTAAGTGCTGAAGAAAAATGAACATCAGTTATCGAAACATTTACATTTGGACGAGTATTATTCAATGCTCTCCGTGCATATTATGACGTATTTCCATCCTTTCCTTTGTTGACTTTTCAATCAAATAGCCTCTGGCGTTCTTTTCCTGTTTTCGGGATAAGCAGTTACATGTTTTGGTGTCAAGTCAATTGGATCGGTGCTTGGTCATGTAAAAACCAATCGATTGCTCAAACAAGGTTGATTTTTTAACACACCATTTTCATGCAACTTGAATGCTCACATTTGGTGCTTTTTTGCGGTTCAAGACAATGTCACAAAGCGCAATATGAATAAATTTTTAATATTAAATCACACCAGTTTTGGTTAATGTTATTGCATTTACCGTCACGTATGCTCGATTTATTTAAAACTTGAACATAAGAAGAATGAAACTCATGTTTTATCTTAAAAGGTGGCCTCTAAAAAGGAAACAGAGACAATACCATCTTTTTGTTACATTTTTATACTTTACTTTTTTATACTTTAGACAAAAAAGAATTGAAAGAACCATGTAGAAGATAACTGTTTTGCTATACAAAGTAAACTGTACGAACGTTAATCGTAATTATAATTTTTAAAACATTTTGGCAATGGACAGTTTCAAAAACAAATAGAAAACAAGATTCAACTAATTGCTAAATTTCAAAAATCAACTTGTTCGTCGGCCGGCGTTCATTTAATGGCGACAGTAAATGGTACACACTGTACCCGGTTTTAAAAAAATCCTTTTAATATGGGCGGCCCATGCAGTGCAAGGTTCTCGTTATAGGAATATACACAAAGAGATTGTAGTATGTTATTTTGTCCTAAAAATCATTTGAAAAAAAAAAAACGTTTTATTTTCAAGAGCGTTAATCTGCAGCTAATGTTTCGTTCCAAAGGTAGTGTTGGAATGCACATGCTGCAGTTTTCAGGTGTCTCCGGATATTAAAGTAAACCGTAGCTATTTAGATAGCAAACAGGGTATCAACATGCTAATTTGTACTTTATCGACATTCTTTAATTCCTGCAAATTGAATTTAAAAGAAAATTCCTCGCGAAAATTGGCGAATGAATAGGCCTTTCACACAATGAAATTGAGTTGGGATGATTTTTTTGGGAGGAGTCAAATTTAACTTGTGCCCAAACAATCATAAATACAAAACTAAAGAGTGATCTAAACAGGAGGTCAGAAAACAAATTTTCCTTTTTTTTGGCGACAAGTAATTGCTCAACACCACTCACCTACACTATCCCTTCAATGTAACCTAAAAGTAAATCAAAATATGATTAATACTAACATTTTACAATTTACAAGCACCTAATTAATTGGTTAAATTATTTTGGGCTGTTTGTTATTTTAAAGCTGTACACAGGACGTCATAACATCGTCACCGGCATCGTAACACAGAGGTAACCGTAGGCCATTTCATCAATGGAAACTATAGGACCAATTCTTCGATCTCATTATTAGTTGTGCTAAGCTGGTATTGAATTGAGCCCATGTTACACGCATTCTTAAGTCAGCATAAACAATTCTTAAGTTTATATTAGTGCTGTCACGGGTCTTGTAACTTTCCATGCACGAGAGCGTCCTTTACGTCACATCACGCTGCGTTGTACGATAATGGGCATTTTTCATTTGCTTTAATACTGTATGACTTATAGCCTGCGTTTCAATTTACTGCAAACCGTTCCTGAGTGCCGACTGAGTCATTTGTCATCCGTGAGCTGAATTGTGTTCTCTGTCCACCCGGTAATTTGTCCCTGGATGTTTCTGTTAATGGATAGTTTACAGACAGCGAGGTACGCGTGAAGTGTTGTCAGTCCTGGATATTACTTGGATGACTGAGGCCGGTCATGGCGCTTCCTCGCATACGACAGGGCTCCCCATGCCTGATACAGGCGCACTGGGACGGACAGAGTGACCAGGGCCCGGTTGCACCAACCGGTCGTAAGTGAGGCGTAGCAGTTGCGCCGGCGTAAACCGGGCGCAAAATGCTACGCCCGAGAAAAGCCAGTTGCACCAAATTGGAGTAGTGTTTACGTCGGTCTTAACTTAGTCGTAAATTTACGCCTGCTAGTTAGGTGGAGTAAGTCGGTCGTAGCTCGTTTTCCACTATGGCTAGGCTGGCACAGAGAGAGCTTGATGACAATTATCGTAGTTGACGTAGATTATGTGGGTTGTTTTTTGTTTATTTCTTACACAAAACTTCCGTCTGTATAGCTTGGTTTTTAAAAAACTAATTTTATACACTTATATATATATATATATATATATATATATATATATATGATTATTAAATACATTATGTGTGTAGCCATGTACATGTACATGCATGTGTTCAAATTAAATCTTACCACTCATGTCGACACGCCTTGGCTCTCAGCAGTACGGTGTCTTTAATTCTTTTCACGATTTTTGACAAACCATAACAAACCATAGTCATTTTTTATTCACATTTTATATCATTCATATTTTACTATATATAAACATAGAGACGAAAGCTTAAAATATCAACATTTTAAGGCTCATATAATATGTATTAGGTCTCTTGTATTTCTCAATCTCCAAGATGTAAGCTCGATTGAATTAAATGATACCTCACGGTGTAACCATAGATAAAAAAGGTCATGAAATTGTAGTAAAATTATAAAAAGAAAGCAATGCTGGCTTTTT